AGGCGAAAACCACATTTTGAAAAAGAACCGCCCTCAATCCGTAAATATCTTGCATTTTCTACAGAGAATGTGCGCGGCGCTGGGGCGAGAACCACATTAAACCAAAAACCCGCTCTCAATATATGAAACGCTGGCAATGTTTGAAAACGAATGTGCGCAGCGCTAAGGCGAGAACCACATGTTGAAAACCACCCGCCCTCAATCCGTGAAACTCTTGCACATTCAAAAGTGACTGCGCGCGGCGCTAAGGCGAGAACAACAATTTGAAAACCACCCGCCCTCCACCTGTGAAATCATTGTCACTTTTAAACATCAAAATCATGAATGGTGAGGAAATCTGAAACGAAACGCCCGGCCCGCCCTAAAAACTTGCCTCGAGGAGCGACAGGGAGGAATGACTATCTATATGGAAAAGGAATGGAGGAGGAAATGGAGGAGGTGGAGGAGAAGGAGCAGGAGCAGGAGCAGGAGGAGGAGGAGGAGGAGGACTGGGAGGAAGAGGAGGAGGAGGAGGAGGAGGAGGAGGAGGAGGAGGAGGAGGAGGAGGAGGAGGAGGAGAGGAGGAGGAGGAGAGGAGGAGGAGGAGGAGGAGGAGGAGGAGGAGAGGAAGAGGAGGAGGAGGAGAGGAGGAGGAGGAGGAAGAGGGGAGGAGGGGAGGAGGAGGAGGAGGAGGTGAGGAGGAGGAGGCAGGAGCAGGAGGGGGAGGAGGAGGAGGAGGCGGAGGAGGAGACAAGGAGGAGGAGGAGACAAGGAGGAGGAGGAGACAAGGAGGAGGAGGAGGAGAAGGAGGAGGAGGAGGAGGAGGAGGAGGAGTGAGAAAAAGAGCAAGAGTAAGACGCCACCAAGAAACAGTCGAGCGGTCGCTCCCGCGTGCCCGCCCCCGCCCTCGGCCGCCCACGCGAACGGGACGGCGCGCTCAGCGGCGCGGCGCGCTGCCGCAGAAGGGCGGCGAGAGCCGCGTGCCGCGGCGGCCCGCTCGACCGGTTTCGGCAGTGCGCCCCCGCCGCGGCGGCGGTCAGCGCCCGCGATGCCGAGCCTCCGGCGGGGCGGGTCCCCGCAGCCAGGGCGGCCGAGCCCGCAGTCTCCTCCTCGCCTCGTCGCCGCCTCAGGGCCCGCGGCCTGCCGGGCGCCGAGGCAGAGCGAGGGGGGCGAGGTTTCAGACCGCGCGCGGCCAGCGTGGCGGCCGGTGGAGGCGACGCCGCCTCGGAGACCGCGGGCGCCCTTGCCCCGTCTCCACTGAAGGCCCGCTCTGGCGTGCCCCCCCCGGCCCCTCCTCGACAAGTGGCGGCGGCGCCTCGGCCCGCGAGGCCGCGTCGCCAAGCCTCACCTCGCCACTGCGGGGTCGCAGGGCCCGCGGACCGTGGGGCGGCGACGCGGGGCGTGAGCGGCGGGCCTACATCTCGCCAGCCGCCTCCGTGATGGCCGGGGCGGTCTCGGCGCGATGGCGGCGTCGCCGTCGCAGACCACTGGCGGAGCCTTTCGGCTACGCACAAGAGTGGCCCCGGGGAAGAGCGACCTGTGGCGCGCGGCATTGAGGCGCGGGGGGGTCGAACCAAAGCGCGCAAACAGCCACTATCGCAAGGCGCTCAGCGATCGGGGGGGGGCCGGGCGAACGCGCGCCTTAAGGTCGCCCCGGCGAAGGATCAACCTCGCGCGTAGTCGAGCCTTGCTCCTCGCGCCTGCGGTGCGACAGGCGGGCCAAGTGAAAACTGCTTCGAGCGGGGCCCAAGCGTGGGCGCAGCCCTCGGGCTGTCGCGGCTTCCACGGCTGCCCGCGGGCTCCGAGGCTCGGGCGGCCCGCGGGCGCCTCGAGCCCGCGGTGAGGGGGGCGCGGGCTGCAGCCCCGCCCGCTGGCCACCGCGCCCTCATCGTCGAACGACCCCAAAGGCGCCGCGCGGAGCGACCTCGAGGGGGCCGAGGGAAAGCGGGCGCCGCGCGCCCGTGCCAATGCGATGACGTCCTGCATCGCCGCCACGACGTCGACTGCTTCCGGTCATCGGCGCACCATCACAAGCCGAAGGAGGACGAGGCCAACGCGCGGCGGCGCGAGCTTGGCGTGGGGAATCATCAGCTCGATCCACGGCGCGAGCATCAGCACCGCCGCGCGATCCCCGTGGACCACCTCGCTGGGGCCCGCCATGCCTAGACCGCTTACCAGCGGCGGGGCGGGGACCGCGGCCTCGGAAGCTCGCGTCGGACCACCTGCCGCGCGCGAGCTCGGAGGGGCAGCGCGATGGGGGGAGCGGCCAGATCGTCGTTGCGCCCGCCGTCGAGGTCGACCTGCGGGTCAGTCGCCGTCTGTCGCGCGCCTGCCCTGGGCCGCGGCCCGCGAGCCATGCGAACCAGATTGGACGCGCCCGCGTCCGATGGGGCGCCCCTGCACTGCGCGAGCAGACCCCTGCCCAGAGCCCGAAAGGCCACCCGCAGGCCGTGCAGGACCACGCATCCAGGTCGCACTTGAGCACCAAGCAGTGCGATGGGTCCACGTGCTGGTCGGCGATCTGCAGCGAGCTGGCGCTGCCGTCGGGGAATGGTCCGAGGGCGGCCAGGTTAACCGCTCTGGGGGCCAGACCTCCGCGCGGCCGGCGAAGCCGAGGCGTCTGGCTGGCGCGGCCATCGGGCCCCGTGGGCGCGACGTCGAGTCGAGCCCGCCAGCTTTCGCAGTCGGCCAAGTTGTCGGCGAAGAAAACCGCCGCCCCCGCCGAGAGGGGGGCCGCCAAGAGCAACGCGCGATGCACCGTCTGCCTAGGTCCAGTCAGAGCCCCGAGAGCGCCCGCCGCCGCGGCGGCCGCATTGGCATTGGGCGGCGCGCGGCAACTCCAGCGCAACGGAGACGCGGGTCCTGTGGCTCTGGGCCGCCGCTGGCGTCGCCGCAGGGGGCGAGCGGGGCGGCGAATGCGCCGACGCCGAACGGCGGAATGTCAGTGGAGGCGCGGAGGCCTCGCCGATGCAGGTATCGGGTTCGCGCTGTCCTTCGAAGTCGGGCCGACATATCGCGGGGCAGTGGTCGGCTCGCGTGGGCTCGCGCGCTCGGTGCGCTCCGGCTGCGGCGCAGTAGGCGTCGGCTACTGACCTGCGCGCACTTCGATCTTCCTGGGGCGCCGTGGGCGATGGGCCAACTCCGAACGCGCGGGCGAAGCCGTCGCTTGGCTGGCCGACCTGTCGAACGAAAGGGGTGGGCTGCGGCGGGCTGGCGCCCTTTGGCAGCGGCGCTGAGCGCGCTGTCTGCTGAGCAGCGCGCCCCTCTCGACCGCTCTGGGATGCTGAGTGCGACGGCCCCGCTGCGCGCGCGGGCGCCCTTCTCGCCGGGCGGGCCGACCTGCCGCTGGCAATCGCCGTCCGCCCGACCGAAAAGCGAAGGTGCGAAGGTGGCCAGGCCGCTGGCGCTGGCGGCGTGGCCTGCGAGATAGACCCTGCGGGCGCGAAGCAGAGCCGGTTGCGCGCGGGCCCCAGCTCCAGGGCCCGGGGCGTCGCGGCGTAGTCCGAACTCGCCCGCGGACGGGCCCGGGTCGGAGTCTCTGCCAATGCCGTCGCTGTCGGCGGCGTGTGCCTCGCCGTCGCAGTCCCCCGGCCTGTCGCCGGGCGCGCTGCCCAGGAAGGCGCCCCCTTTTTCGGCGGAGGCAGCCCGCGCCTCGACGGCCGCGCGCCTCTTTGCCGACGCGGCGCGCGGGGCCGTCGGCCGACGGCCCTCAGGAAAGTGGCGGGGCACGACGGGCCGCCGAGTGATCAGTTGCGCGCTGCTGCCGCAAATGCCCAGGACGAGGCGGGGGCGCGTCTTCCTCGGCGCGGCCTGGAGGCCCGCGACACTCGCGAGAGATGGGGGACAGGATGTGGAAAGGCTGTCTGCAATCGATGCGCGAGCCGTCCCGCCCAGCATCGCACGCGACCGCCGCGTCGCATTGCTGGATGTGGCCGCCTACCTGCTCCATGAAGCAGCGATGCCGCAACGCTGACGCCCCCGAATTGAACTCCGCCATCGCGAACCATGGCAGCTGGAGCGCCGCGAGGAGCGCTCCGGGGCGGGCTCGCCCACGGAGGTTCTCGCCCGCCCCGCCGACGGAGGAAGCGGCGCAGAAAGAGATGGCCACGATGGCACAACCCCGCGCGCGCAGGACGCAGGCATGGACGCCGTCCAAGTCGGAGGTGGCCGGGGCCCGGGGCTGCCGAAGAGTAGGGCATGGCCTCTCTAGCCCGTGCGAGTGCAAGTGGCCGCGATCCATGATCCACTCGCTGGCCTCGGTGCCCATGCCTACGGATGGTCGAGCAAGGTTGCCCACGAGGCGCCAGCCGTCCTGTTCGGCGGCCCTTCTCCGATCATCAAACTCAGCGGTGGACCTCGCGCAGGTCTCCGCAATGCCCAGGTAGACTAAATCGTGCGACCGATCCTGGACGAACTGCCGTGCCTGCGGACGCATGGCCGTCGCATTACTGCAACTGAACTTGCGCTCGAACTCGGATGAGTCAAACGGGGGTCGACCAACGAATGCGCCATCGACGTGAAGCCCGCGGCGAGGAGCACGGTCATCTCGACAGTCGCCCGAGACTGAAAGGAGATGGGCTAGCTTCCTCGCCACCCCCGGGAACAAAACTGCTCGGCTGATCAGATCCAGCAGCTCCCGCGGACCTTGCAACTGGAACCTGGCGCCAAGATGACACGGGAGCGGCGGCATCCCGACCTTTGGTGGTGCCCCTGCTCTATGGCGGATGAAGCCGCAGCTGCCTACTCCGCCGCCCGACAGCTAGCCTGGCGAAGCTTGGCGGCTTCATTGGCGTCGTGGGCGTCGAACGCGCCGCGACGCTCGACGCCGAGCCCTCGGGAGCTCTGCCACCGGTGGCGGCGGGGGTCCTGGGGGCGGCGGGCTGCTCGGCGGCAGGGCTGGCTTCGGCGGGGGCCGCGGCTGCTACCGCAGGCACGGCCTGACCTGCCACCGGGGCCCCTTCGGGCCCCTGGCGTTTCTTGGCTGCGCGCTGACAGCTCTGCTCAGCCAGAAACTACTTGGCCTGCTCCAGCTTGGCCTTCACCTCAGTAGAGTGCGAGTGGAGCTGCGACTTGGCATCGCGCAGCTCCCGACGGAACGCCTCCATCCTGGCGCGCCCCTCCTCGTCGAGCTCCTCCACGCTCCCGCCCGCGAAGACGGAATCGTCCCAGATCAGGTTGAAGAGATCGGCGCAGGGGTTAACCAGCTGGGCGGCGGCCGCATGGGAAGGCTGCGGGGCAGGCGCCAGCGCAGCCACAACAGCGTCCTTCTGCTTCGCCGCCTCCGCCTCGGCAGGCTGAAGGGCGAGGTCTTGCTCGCGCGCCTCCGCAGTGCCAAGGGCCCCACGGTATCGCATGACCTGATCCACCGACCTCTGGTGGCGCCCATGCAAGTCTTTGCAGACGCCAGCCGCCCTGCAGACGCCGGCCGCATTGCGGCTGCGGCCTCCGCGTGCTGCTGGACGACCGTCAGGGCCTGCTGCGGCTCTGCTGGGACACTCCCGCCAGCAGACGTCGCGGCCGCCATGGCCTCGGAATCCGCGGCCAGCACGTCACCAGGCTTCTGGAGCGCGCTGCAGCACCCGCCTTGCGGTTCCCGCGCGGCGGCAGCTTGGCCGAGCGGGCCCTCTGCGAAAACTTCGCGACCTTCGCCCTGCAGCTGCAGAGCCAGTCGCGCTCGGTGAAGCAATCGTCCCACTCGCAGAAGGAGGAGGAGGAGGAGGAGGAGGAGGAGGAGGAGGAGGAGGAGGAGGAAGAAAAGGAGGAGGAGGAGGAGGAGGAGGATGAGGAGGAGAAAGATGAAGAGGAGGAGGAGAGCAGGAGGACGAGGAGGAGGACGACGACGACCACGATGACGAGGAGGGAGAGGGAGGGGCAGCAATAGGGGCAGAACGACGACGCCCTCGACGACGACGACGACGAAAAGGGCACGCGGCCGGCACGGTGTGACGTGCCTCCCGGCGCTCACTCCAGGGGGGAAGCGCTTGGCAATTCGGTAAGAGGAAACTGTGAACGTAGGGTGTCAGGATGAGGAGGAAGACGACGACGACGACGACGACGACGACGACGACGACGACGACGTTGCCTTTTCGGAGGTTCGTGGGCGTCTTTGCAGATGCAACTCGCAAGCAAAACTTGCCAGGATGGACGCCGGGTTGTGTGGGGGCAGATTATGAACGGATTCGGGGTGTTGACGAGCGGGCCTGGCGGTCGGTGAATTTTACTCGCCGCATGGCACCCGTCGCACACTCGAAAGATCAAGGCTCAAAGGTATAATGTTTTGAACGTCTTCGGCCTCTTCCGGGCCTCCGCGCGCCTCTGGAGGCTTCTGGGCCCCGAGACCCCCAGAGATCCCCCAGCGGGCGTGTGACGTGCTGTGCGAGCGGGAGTTCCTGTGCGACGTCGGCGGCGATCGGAGGTGCGAGCGCAGGTACGTAACGCGAGGGCTCGGGGCGCATCCGGGGCCACACACGTTGCCCTACATCGGCGCGTTCCCCCGAAGCGCCGACCACGCCACCCGCAGTGCAGTCGAGGCTGGACGACACTTTCGCCAGCGTCCACGTGCACCTGCCGTCTTTGCAGGCGGACGAGTCCTTGAAGGCCGAAGCGATGACGATGACGATGATGATGCTGCTCATGAAGATGCTGATGATAGTAATGGTGATGAAGCTGATGATGATTATGATCATGAGGAGCAGGAGGAGGACGAGGATGGAGGTGGGGCGGTTGGAGATGGTGATGATGATGACGACAACGATGTTGGTGATTCTGATAAGGATGAGGATGATAAAAATGATGATGCTGATGATGATGCTGCGGCTGCTGCTGTTGATGATGATGCCGGTAACGGTAATTATAATGAGAATGAGGATGAGGATACTGATGATGATGATGGTGGTGACGATTGTGATGATGGTAGTGGTGATGGTGATGGTAATGGTAATGGTGATGGTGAATTGTATTGTATTGTCGGGGCCTTAAAGGCGGAAGAAAAAAGGACCGAGGGGCCTTCAGGGGAATCCAGCGCCACCCGAGACACGCCCTCCCGAGAGGGGCCGCCCAGGGCCGCCTCTCCCCGCGGGGGCCGCCCTGGGCCACCACCGCGGCCACCAGGGGACGGTTGCCGAACGCATGACAAGCCGACCCCCCCTCCAGCAGCGCAGAACATAACGAAACTACACTACCCGCGCCAGGGTGAACTCGACTGCGTTGCAAATACACAGCGTGCACATTCAAGTACAGGAGGCTTCACTCACGACTCCCAGCATCAAGGTGTGAGGACAGCACAAGCCAGAAGCGATCACTGACCATCCACCTCAAAGCAATCACCGTGATAAAGAATCACTACGAACTCCCTTCTGCAACAGTAAGCCCTCAGCGCGGGCTTCGACCTCTGCCCTGCCTCCGAGTGTAAGCTCACGCTGCAGAAGCGAATCCTCGGTGCGGCCTTCGGCGAGGTCCAGGAGCGATTCCACTCCCGAAAGCGGCCCGCGGGCCGCAGCAGCCACCGCGGCCAAGCCGAACTCATCGAGGAAAGGGAAGTACCGCTCGGCACTCGCCGCAGCGGCGGCCCGCGCGGAACCAGCGGTGCCCCTCTCCAGCTCCACGGCCGTGCCGCCGCTCAGCACCGCCGCGCCGAAGCGGTCCAGATACTCCAGGACGTGGCTGTCGGGCTCCGAACGGGCGGGGGGTCCAGGGCAGGCCGTGTCCCCGTCCGTGTCGCCGCCGACAGGGCCGTCCACAAAGCCGTCGTCGAAGCCGTCGTCGCTGCCTGGGCCCGCCAGGCTCTCCAGAAGCAGCGGCGGCCGCGGCGCGCTCTCGCCTGCAGTACCGCCCTGCACACCATCGAACGCACGACACGGCGCCTGGAGGGCGGCCCTGCCGTCCTCCTCCATCGCCGCGCCTGCCTTCCAAACCCCTTCGCGGGGAGGGCCAGGCTCTGCCATGGCGGCAGGGGCAGGCTGCCCGCCGCCGCACGCACCGTCGCTGCAGACCTCCCATACGCCACGGAAGGACGAGGAGGGCACGCACTGCTCCTGCAGCACCACGCCGTCGCCGCCCCGCGGAGCGCCGGAGGCCGTCCTAACAAGGCGCCAGCTCGCGTCGAAGCCCTCCCGAAGGCCCTCGCCCCTGCCAGCGGGTCAGCGACCAGCCAAACGCCTGGCGGGGGAGGGAACGCACCGCCGCTCGCCTGGGCGTCAGCCTCCGCCAGGAGCTCCGCTTCAAGAACAGCGACGTGAATGGCATCTGCGCCCACAGCCCGCGGCTCCACCTCCGCTGAGCTCGCCGCTACGGCCGATCTCGGGTACGGGAGGCGCGGCCCGCGCTGCGCCCTCCTCCAGGCGGCCCGCGGAGCGCCAGGTCGCGGGAGGGCCCGCGCGTGGCACCCCACATTGCGCTCGAGGATGCGCGCCTCCTCCAGCGGCCCGCCGTGCTCCTGGGCGATCAGCACGGGCGCCACAAGCGCCAGGCGGCGCAGGACGCTGGGGGGGCCGATGCCAGGCTCCGCAGCTCCACAAGCTCATGGTTGTGATCGTGATGATGCTGGTGATGGTGGTTCTGATGATGCTGCTGCTGCTGCTGCTGCTGATGATGATGATGATGATGATGATGATGATGATGATGCTGTTGACGATGATGATGACACGCTGTCGAAGCATGGAGTCCCACACTTGGAGTTACAGCTATACCAATTCTTACCCCTGAAGCGCTCAGACTTTTCTGGCGCGTGCCCAGCGTTCCACAGGGTTGCGTCCACCGTTTGGCCTGTATCTCTCGATCCCCGCCTTTCCATTGAAACAGAGAAAGAAGACTCTTCCGCGGGAAGGCCGAGGCTGAGTCCGTGTCGTCTGGCCCAGAACTACTGGGTGTATGTCGAAGTCGTAATGTCTGCGATCTTCGACCCACGCGCTTTCTTGGCACGTGGTGATTAGGAGAAGGATGGGGGCGAGGAGGGCCAGGGTTGGGAACAGGAAGCGCGAGGTCCAGGAGCGTTTCTGCTTCTCGCTTGCTCGGCCGACGGCCCCACGAGGAAACGCAGCACTAGTCCAAACTCCTAGAGAAGTCGCTCCTCCGCCTCTCCTCCTCCTGACTCCTTCGCCATGCTCCCCCTCCACCTCACTGGCCATTCTGGCTCAGGCCCATCCGTGCTCAAGCGGGTTCGCCGCACCTCTGGTCGTCGTCACCTCTGCAGGGGCTGGCAGGTCTAGAAGGGGAGGGGTGGGGGCTGTTCTCGTCGGGCGGGGCGCCTGGGACGGCCCACGGTGCAAGTTCTGCCGAGCTCGTTGTGCGCTCAGGAGGCCGGCGTCGTGCCGCGAAGCGGCGGGCCCGCCGCCGGCGGGCCCAGCTGTCGTCGGAGCACGCGGGCCGCCGCCTGTCCGCCGAGCTCGCGGGCGGGCTCCTTGGGGCGCTGGGCGTGGGTCGGGCGCCTCGGCGGTGCTGGGCGCGGACACGAGTGCGCGTGGCGAGCTGATCGCTGTGATCCCTGCGCTCTGAGGCTGCGCTTGCTGGGCGGTCCTGCTCCGGGGTCGCGCCGGGCTGCGCAGTACAGCGCGGCGCTCCGCGCGGCCGCGGAGGGTGCGGCCGATCATCGCGACGACCTCGCGCGGCTGCGCCCAGAAGGGGCCACGCTTGCGAGAGGGCCGCCAAGCAGACGGGCTGGCAGCGGCGGCTGGCAGCCTGGCTGGCCGCAGGTCTCATGAAGGCCGCGGCCCGCCAGGCACGGGCTCCTCCTCGTGCCGCTGGCCCTGCCGGCTCAGGGGCGGCGCCTGCACGCGCAGAGCACCCGGCAAGCCCCCCAGACGGGCACGCACGACGCCATCTCCTTGCTCGGGCGGGCACGGGCGATGCTTCCAGCAGCACGGGGCCCTCGACAAGACCCCAGGGGCTTCCTCTTCGCCTGCTGGGGCCGGGCCGCGAGGTCGTCGACGGCCTCGTCTGCAACTGGGAGGCGAAGGGCGGCACCCGGGCTACATGGGTCACCAGCATAGCCTTGTTCCCTGTCAACGCCTACTGTGCGAGCCGTGCGACGGCGAACGGGCGGTATCGCCCTGTTTCGGGCTCCGGGGCCATCACATATCGACGCGGCTCGAAAAATGCAGCAGGGAAATGGGGTCTAGGATTAGGTCGGGCATGTCCTCCTACAGGCGACTTTCGGACGACAAATGAAACACAGTCCAAACATATTCAAAGAACATAAGCCAAAATAGTTGTAAAAACGTCCCCAGACTATGTTTTGACTGCTTTTGACTATTCCTCCTGTAGAGGGACACGCCCGACTGAAAGCCAGGACCAGGACAACATCGGGCCGGGATAAACATCGGGGTTCTCCGAGGTCTGGCGTTGCGGATGCCACGACAATGGACACCCTAACAGTCCTATCCTCGAATTCTGAATGTATTTAAAATGTCGGAAAGTGTTCTAAACATGTTTTTAATGTTTAAAGCATGCTTAACACATGTTCTATACATCTGGAAAGTATTTGGCAATACGCTTCCTCTCCACTGACCGTCCTCCACGAGTCTGGCGGTCCTGGAAGCTGTGCCGGGTGCCGCGGCCGCTCCAGAGCGGCTCGAGAGCGTCCCCGG